ATTTGTATTTTTGTGTGCTCTGTTTGTTTGCAGTTTTAATTTTCTTATCACACATTTGACTTGTTCTTAGCGTGACTTTTAGCGGCATATTAACCTTGTGTTCTATTGTTAGTTGTTTTTATTTTCCTTCTCGTTATGATTGTTGATGCCAATATAACTTTAAATAGCAGAAAGTTAAACTTATAAGAAAAAGAAAAGGAGTTGTAGTCTGCATTGCATAAATGTCTTTAAGTTGCAATGAAGCTTTTCTGCATATGAAAACTCTAGCTTAGTGAAAGCTCAATGCTTCTTATCATAGCAAAGAAAAATCTTTTTTCGTCTGCACTATAAATATACTTAACTCAAAAATGCGTTGTACTTACTAAAGCTTTCATAGTTATTGAAATTCTGGCTTAACGAAAGCTACAGAGTTCTATTTGGTTGCAAAAAAAACTTTTACTTCTTAATGCATATGAAAGTTATAGCTTACTGAAAGCTTCGAAGCTTTCTTTATTGTGGAAAAAACTTTTCATAATAAGTAGTATAAACAAACCTGTTCCAAAAATGCATAGAACTTACTGAAATTTACATGCATATGAGATTTCAAACTCAGCGAAAGCTTCTGAGCTTTCTTTTATTGGAAAAAGATTAATCAGTATTACATTTGTACATGCATACATGTTCCAAAAATTCATTAAGCCCTTAGATGCCTACATGCATATGAGAGTCGAAAGCTTCAGAGCTTTCTTATTTTGTGAAAAAATCAATCAGCATAACATTCGTACAAGCACTTATGTACATATGTATGTTCCAAAACTGCATTAAACTCTCCGGCGTTTTCATGCATATGAGAGTCTAGCTTAGCGAAAGCTTCTAAGTTTTCTTTTTTTTCAAAACTGCGAAAACAACTTAACCAGTATTAAGTAGGTAGAAATATGCTACAACAATGCATTAAACTCACTGAAAGTTTCAAGCAGTTGAAAGCTTTCGCTTAGCGAAAGCCTCGTGAGCTTTTTCTTCGAAAACAACTTAACCAATATTGAATAGGTACAAATATGTTAAAAAAATTCATTAAACTCACTGAAAGCTTTCAAGCAGATGAAAGCTTTTGCTTAGTGAAAGCCTACGAACTTAATTTTTTTCAAAACGGAATATGTAATAGCATAATAAATGAGATTTAAGACAAAAAAAAGTTAACAAAAATTTTTGGAATGCGTAAACTTTTCGAATTAACACCGAAAGTTTTTTGCTACCAAATTAAAGCTATAAATAATAATAAAATGGTTTTTTTTAATCATAAAATTTGTATTAATTAGAATAAAAAGACTTTTTTAAAAGCTATTAAATTTAAGCTCTTATTTTATTAGTTTTGTTATAATAAAAAATTAATTTCCTAAAGATAGTCTTGCCATATTTGTATATTAAAAATGCTAAAAATTATTATATAACACTTTGGAAATTTTTTAAATGTGACTTTCGTGCACTTTTATTACCTTAACTCATTTCGCTTTAATTATGAGTAAGCATTTACAACGAAAATGATGAAAAAACCTTCGCTACTCACTCGCCAAACCGGTCGTGTACAATACATACATATTTATGTTACTGAGTTTAGCCCTTTTCTTGATGATGCAGCAGCAGAGCTTAGATATTGCACATAAATAGCTACTGAGTGCAACAAGTGAGAGAGTGAGTGGTTATATGAGCTGTAGCAGAGATGTGTGGGAAAATAGCAATATATTAAAAATAGTTGTGATAGTTTATGGGGTCTCTCAGTTTATGGAATGCAATTTAGAGAAGCTTAAAGGTGCTTTTCAAGAAGAAATTATTAAAATTGACTAAAAAAAATTAAAATAATAAGGTTGAAGTTAAAAAAAAAAA